GGATGGACGGATGGGTGGATGGATGGATGAGTGGATGATGGATGGATGAATGATGGATGACAGATGATGTATGGAAGGATGAACAGATGATGGAGGAATGACGGTGGATGATGGATGGATGATCTCTATGAGCACATGACTGACCAGGAATGGCAGTATTTAAAGGAAGTACAGTGAATCCGGCCTCCAGAACCAAGGATGTTTTAAGTGGTTGCTTCAGTGTCTTTTCCCTCCCAGTTCTCTGGCACCAAGACCTCAGTCATGAAGTAGAAGCCAATCTGAGGACTCCATCCCAGTTCAGTCTGGCTCAGCCCCACCACCCCAAGCCTTGGCTAAGCTTAGACACTGCCAGCCAGGTGTCCAGCAAAGGCCTGTTGTTCAGCCAGTGACCAGGGAGGGCTGTCCTGGAGGCCCTTCCTCCTCTCTGCGTCCTTGCAGAGTAAACAAAAGTTAACAGCAGCCTGGTTCCCTGCCCTCAGGGCACACTGTAGTTGTGGCTTCAAGGGAAAGAATGGCCATGAATTATTTAGAAACTGGGAGCTTAGGAAAGCACTTGATTGAGCAGGAGAGAACTCAGCTCTGCTCCTGGCATTTGATCTCCCCAGCAAAGAGCCTGGAGTGTCTCTGACCCTGGATAAAGGCTTGGCCTCTGGCAAGTTTGGGGCTTTGAAGAATATTTTGGTGGTTCTCAGCATTGCTGGCATGTAAAAAAATCACTTAGGGAGATAGCCGTAAATCCTTAAGCCTGGGCTGCACCCCAAAAATGTTACACCTGAATCTCTGGAGTACATATACAGCAGCAACCTTAGCAGCTGCCTGGGGGTTCAGTGTGCAGGTTAGATACTGTTAGGGGTGGGAGGGGTGACACACCCCTGGGTGGCACAACAGGAGACCCTCTGTCCCTGTGTCCCACTAGCTGTGCTGAGAGCCTGGTTCTGCTTTGCCCCATCTCACAGATGTAGAAACTGAGGCTCAGGACGCCCCAAGGACACAGCCACTACCGTCAGGGCAGGGCCAGGGTGCAGGCTCAGGTCCGAGGGACTCTGGCTCTGGTGCTGCTGCTTCTGCTCACAGCCCCATGGGGGGGGGGGGGTTGGGGGGGGAGGGAACACAGTTCCCTGGGAGTGTGCAGTGGGCGTGTCCCTCTGCAGGGGACCGAGGGGGCAGCACTGGGCCACCAGAGCCAGAGTCTTGAACAGCTTTGCCGGCATCCCGGGAATGAACGCGCTTACAGCTGCTACAGATAGGGAAAGGGAACCTCGCAGAGAGCTGAAATCCTGGCCCAAGGCCACCCATTCCTCACACGGAACAACAGACACACACCCAGGCCGCGGACACCCGCTCGGCTGTTTGCCTCCCGGTGACGTCAGCCCCAGTCAGCGGGCGGCCAGCGAGGGCTTGTGTTTTGCTCGGGTTTAGAGGGCCTTGGTTTTTGGCCTTTGCAGCTGCTTGTCTCAGTTGATTCTGCGAAGAGAGACTGGCCCATAATTTCCTCTTTCGCACAATTATTTAGCTTGAGGTTCCTCCAAATGGAAATAGCCTAAGGCGAATGGTCTTGAGGTGCAGGTTTCATGCGACAGTGGACGGCCCAGCCCCATGTCTGCATTCTCTGCCAAGTGGGTTATAAACCAGGGCTGTGCCCGCGGCTAGCCGGCCACCATACCCTGCCCCGCGAAGCACGAGAGCCGCCCGGGACCTAGCTCCACCCAGGAGTCCGCCCCAGCCCAGGTCAGCACGGCTCTCCAGGCCTCCTCGAGGCTCCTCCCACGTGTACAGGCCTCCTCGAGGCTCCTCCCACGTGTACAGGCCTCCTCGAGGCTCCTCCCACGTGTACAGGCCTCCTCGAGGCTCCTCCCACGTGTACAGGCGCCCCAGCGGGCCTGAGCCTGCTCAGCGAGGTCTCGCAGCAGTAGCCAGCCCGGGCTGGGCAGGAGAGCGAAAGGGAGAACAAGGAGCCAAGGAGCACATGTCCTCGTAGCCTCTGCGTGCCAGCTGGGAGTCGGAGCTGACTTCTGCTGTCACGTGGCACTGGGTGGCAGGGAGAAGGGTGAGTTTACAGGGGCGGGCTGAGTGTGGTCAGTAGAGCAGGCGGTGGGAGCGGGCAGGCAGAGCCCTGAGGGTGGAGCAAGCCCAGGGGAGCTGACGGTGGAGACTTCACCCTCACTCCCTCTGCACGGCAGGGTCCCCTCGCAGCCTCTTCCCGTCTGTGTTTCATTCAAAACACTCATCGCAAACTAAGTCCTGCGTGAGTTGGCCTTGCTGGGGAGGCCGCCCCTTGGGGGGCTTGTGGGGGCTGGGTCCTGGCCTGTCCTCAGGGACTGCGCCCCTGCACCTGGAGACCTCTCAAGATACTCAGCATGGGGAGAAGCGAGCTGTGTGACGGCCTGGGGTGAGGAGGGAGGAGCAGGGGCTGGCCAGAGGAACCACCTCTGCAGGGCTGAGCGTGGCCATCTCTGTGCTGGACGCACAGGGGCTGAGCTCTGAGGACACAGCTCCTGTCTGCCTCAAGCCTTGGCCTGGTTCACACGCTACCGCGTTTGAAGCAGGAGGAAACTGAGGCATGGAGAGACCCTGGACAAACTGCCCATTGTCACGTAGCCCGGGACCCGACTGTGAACCCAGGGAGTCTGTGCTGGAGCTTGTCCAGAGCATCAGCTTGAATCTCAGGTGCAGGTCAGGGGGCCCCAGAGGCCCCGCTGGGCTCGCACCTGAGAGTGCCGGAACCCCGGGAGGGCGTCCAGCGGGCACGAGGCTCGGTGCAGCCTCAGCCCAGTAGAGGGCAAGAGTGAGGCAGAGGCCTGGCCAGCGCCCCAGACACCCCATCCTGGGGTTGGACCTCCTGAACATCCTGCCTTGGTCCTCCCGAGGGAGCAGGGGTCTCGGAGCCCCTTGCCACCAAAGGCAGCAGCCAGTGGGTAATGGCAAGAGCAGTGTTTGGTTCCTGGGGTCCTTGTCCCAGTGCAGGTGTGGCCGGTGACCCGGGACCAGCCGTGGAGGGCAGTGCAGCCCCATGCCTGGCTTGTGGGCGCCAAGTGAGAAGGCCGAGACTGGGTCTGAGGGAGGCTGGGGTCTTCATCTGCGCCT